CTCGTGACGTCACTCATGACCCTTGTGACGTCACTAGTGAAGGTCACGACTCTCACGAGTGAAGGTCGTAACCTTCGTCGTGACCTTCACGAGTAAATTTCGTGACGTCACTCGTGACCCTAGTGATCCTCGTGACGTCACGTGCGACGTCATTATGGGAAACGTCCCATAATGTAACGCGCGGTTACAAGGCACGTCACTCGTGACCCTAGTGACGTCATTATGAAAAACGTCCCATAATGCAAGGCGCCGTTACGCCGACGTCGACGGCGACGCCGCTCAAGCCAGAAACGGGCGCCTAAGAGTTGCGCTCTAAAACAATTGTATAGCAAATTGCTGGGCAATTGTGTTACACGTGAAACATTCCGACATCGCTCCGGTGTCGGTCCGAAACGTTACCGAGCCCGGCGCCTATGCTCACTGCGCTCTTCATCAGGTAACTTAACACGTGATATATAAACTTGATAGTGGTTCCTGGAATGAAGAGGCTGGCGTTAGTCAAATTTTACAGCCTGCCAGTTTTCGAGAACCTTCCACACTGACCGAAATCAGTCAATAACCGTTGATCACGTGACCTTTTCACCAGCCAGGCAGCTTCGAGCCCCCCTTCGCGGTAGATTTTTAAACTTCACTAAACCTGACGGGCAAGTAAAACTACATGGTTCATGTGAATCATACTTGTAACTATATCAGCTTGAACTTTAGAATTAAACTTGAACACGAAGAAAGGAAAGAAGAGGACACACAGCTGACTACCAACGATGTTTTAGTACAGTGAACTAGAATGTATTTTAATTCGCTCTAGTTTTAGTCTGAACTTTTTTCTTGCGCGTTTGCTCCTTCATTAAGAGTCCCCAAGTAGAGCACGATAAACCTTTTACATAAATAAACTTATTCCACTAATAAAGATCACTACCCCTATTTACATTTATACAAGCTATACAAAGCATTTACACAAAATACCGTAAAATCATTGTTTTTTAAACAAACCCGCCACAAGCTCGTGCTGTTGTTGTTTGGGGCGTCACATTTCGTAGGTATTTTCTTTCTTTTTTGTGAACGGTGATTGATGGGGTGCTGACACAATCTTCCGCGTGCTCATCGATAGCGAGCGCCTCTAGCATCTCACCTGCGTCAGGATTTTTGTTGCTTTCAAGAATGGTTGTGCTGTTAAAAGCTGCACTGCACTGGCACGTCCTCCAATGAGCTGCCAGATGTCCTGCCTCTGTTCCCTTAATGGACGCTGCACACCCTCTAAAAAAAGGGTGTAGCCCTTACAACCTTTGTCTCATATACGACACCCCAAAACTTCAGTTCGCCGTACATCAAGCTGACAAGCTGACACTGACATCAAGCTCACGGCCCTAACTTTTACGAGACGCTTGATGACGGTGAGATATAAGATGTTAAACAGCTAAAGTACACATCAAAGAGTACAGAAAAAAAAATCACCGAGGTTTACAGTAGGGCCAAGGAAACCCCGATAACTTTTTTCACAGTCAGCTACACTTACGTAAGCTATTTTTATAAGTTGAACAACTGGGCTATCAAGCCGCTCGTGAAAATTGGTAGCGTCGGTTGAACGTAAGTGTGCTGTACCCCCACCTAAAGTTTAGGATTTATGTGACAATGGGTGCAAGGGCTACACCCTCTTTTTTTTAGTGCGTACTCGCGGGCTCTGTCGTTGATACATCGGCCCGTTTAGCCGATGTCGCATTTCCTGCTTGAAAGAAGAATGTGGTACACCACTCCTGTTGTGCATGGGACACAATGCTTTATGTGAGCCGTGTTTCAGGATTTTTCCTTCGTTCTTCGATTAACTTGACTGCACATGGAGTAGGCTTTGTTGGGCGCGGAGCATACTACTTGAACCTGCTTTCTTGCGGCAATAGTTTTCAACTTGTGCATAATGTCATGAATGTAGGGTAGCACCCCGATCTTCCTTCCAGTTTTGTCTGCGTTTTCGTTCTCCGGCTTGTACGCTTCAAGTTTTTGCATATGTTCTCACACACGGGTATACCCTGAGACTTGTCGGATATCTTGAATCTCGTAGTCGTGACATCTGTTTTTCGAAGCTTTGCTCTAATTGATCTCACACGATTTGTGTAGGGCAGATATTAGAGCCGTGCTTGCGACATTTCTCTTGATGGTTCTTGAGTGTCCAGATGTGAACGGCAGAAAGCCTTTTGCTGACCGGGGTTCGTACTTTCAGCACACGTGTCCTTGATTGAAAATCAGAGTAAGGCCTAGAAATTGTACACCATCAACAATCAAGAACCATCAAGAACCATCAAAGAAGAGTCGCAAGCACGGCTCGAGCCTGCGCGTTCTTTATGTTGCTTTTTGATTAGGGTTTTCCTACTCGCGCTCCGATGCGCCAAAGAGGCATTTTGGAACACTTGCTCGCAGTTGTGCCAGCGCGCTTTGAAAGGTGATCAAGGCAGTGCACGCGAACGCTTCACTTCCGAAATTCAACGCGCTAGAGACATCAACTGAATTCTTTTAATTTAGCTTGTTCACACACTCTTTTGCGCGTATCCGCAGATGTGACGTTAAAGACCCCAGTCTAGCGGTTGTGCTGCACTGGCTAAATTCCTTCTCTACAGCTGGGAGACAAGTCGCCTGTTGAGGCAGTCTAAGTTCTAGGCTGTATAAACATACACAATCCAATTTGGTTTTTCCCACATATGCTATACTTCGTTTCAGCTTAAGTTTAGATGCAGTCGATGCTACAGGCGCGAGCATGTGGCCCCGAACAGTGACTTGCGCTGCACAAGAGCGTGTTTCGCAGGTACGCTGAAAGCCCGGAGCTCGGGCTTGTAGCATTGGCTGCGCCTAAACTTTAGCTGAAACGAAGTATAGCGTGCCGCTTAGCACAACTTGGAAAAATACAAAAGCTTCGGCTCTCGCGATGTGACAATAGAATCGGGTAGCGAAGCACCGGACATCACGTGGCCTACTCCGATGCTTCGATTGGCTCGCTGGGACTGTAGCTTTTCCTGCGTGCCAAGTTCTTTTGAAAAGGACTGGTTCTGACTGGCTTGCTCGCTCCCCTCGTGAAACGATTTCCTGATTCAAGTTCATTCGATTGAAAACCGTTCTAGGCCTCCAGCTTCGTTGAACTCTCAATTCGCCTTGTGAAACATAGGTAAGAGGTGTTCTGAATGTTCCAACTATCTACTAGTAGCAGTAAAAGTTAAGTGTAGGCTATTGTATGGAAGTCCGTAGTTTTGTGCATGGACGTGTTACTAGAGAGCGCACTTTAGGCTTAGTTGTACCGTTTCTGGCTCAGCTGCAAGGTACGTGCTTTGTGAGATACAATACAGAGTTGGATCATAAACAGAGAATCAATAGTGTCGCTGAATTTCATTTGTTTGGGCTGAGGTTCCGGCTGATGATAACATTTACGAACATGTTCGGTGAAGGCAGAGTGTAACCCAAGGCAAAAGCTTATGAGCACGATGTGTTGCGAACAACTCAGCCCACACGAGCGCACGCCCTCGTTATGCAGTGTTATGCAATGGCCATGCGTTTTCGCTTCTCTTCGGTCATGAGGTGTCAATGACTATGTAGTAGACAATGATAACTGCATCGAAGCAGGGATACAATACACTTTTATACTCGGTGTCAACTACTTTGTGATACGTTGCCAAGGTTAACCTAGCTTCCAAGGTGCTGTAGCCCCGCTCCGCTGCGATAGCAGGTGTTTTTGCCTTGCGTCACATTCACACGCGCTCTCGTGAGAAGGAAACGTCAAACGAAGCCTCGGGCTCGCGCAACTATTGGCAACGTGCGCGATCGAAAGCGCCGCTGTCGTCGGCCTTCCATGATTGGCCGAATGCTGACTATGACGCCAGCAAAGGATTTCTCAATGACGGAAATAAGAGTAATGTAACAGTTTCAAGTTTGACGGTGTTGGCAGTGTTCGTTTCAGAGGTCTATCATTTCAAGCTTCCACCATGCTCATTACAAACGCCATCGAACTTGCTGTTCGCAAGGCAATGACGTCACGAGAGGGAACCATAGGAGGGCGCAACGAAAACATCTCGCCACTAATAGCTCTGAAATTGTTTTAGCACCGTAGAAGCTATGCTACCTTTGACGACGTAGTACAAAGTATAGTTGAGCAGAGTAAAAATAGCTCGCTCGTACGTATCGTCGTCGCAGCGTATAAATGGTAATTCACTCGACAGAAAAACAAATTCTGTGGTGTAAAATATATTCTGCAGAAGGTACAAGCTCAGTTGCAAGGTGCTTCATACGATTGCCGCGTATGCGACTTCAGTACACACCGTGCGCCAGTGCAAGTACGGTGCCTGGAGCACGACTTCGACTGGTCTGTTTAGCGTCCTATTTTGCCCATGTTTCGGAAGTGGTCCCGAAGTGGCAACAAATGACGCAATGAACGCCGGATTGTCACGCTGTTGGTTGTCGCGATCCTGGAAGTCGTTCGTGGAAATGCTGGTGAAAAGAACGATCAAACGCGAGTGTCGCCGTCGTCACAGCGTCCCAACTCGTGGCTGCCGAAGCTTCCGTGGACTGATATGCTGAAGAGCGATCTGCAGCAGAACAGGCGTCTGTCACATCCACCATTGGTGCTGTGACGCCACCAGGATCGTTGCCGGCGACAGCATGACACTTCTATGATTCCATCGAGCGGAAATCGTGGGACCACTGTTTTCGGCATGGTAAACAAAGCAGTCGGTGACGCGTTCCAGGCACCATAGTGCCAGTCAAGTAAAAAGCCTAAACTAGGCGGACAGTCAGTCGCTTGGCCACGAATAAAGCTAAGTTTAAAACTGCGGCTTGTCCTGGTCCGCTCCTTCGGTGTCCGTTGTCTCTGTTTGCGCATGCAAGTTTACCCAGTCACCTAAAGCGTACATTTTGCCGTTTATACAGAAACAACAACAAAAGAAGCCTGTCATCGGCCAACAACTCGACGATAAAACGACCTCCGAATAAAATCATGTGACAATCAGAACACCCGGGAAGTTTCCAAAATGAAAAGACTAAAATGCCTCTCGCGGATGGAAGCAGTCCCCAAACTGGGTCATCGTGTATCATCGTGGGCGCAACACCACCATTTCATTCTCGTCATCTCTGTAACTGCAATGATGTTCATTGGTACCTTCTGCGTCGCTTCCATGCTAGCGTTCGAACTCGACCTTCAGCTGGACACGCAGTGGGACGGAAAAGTGGAAGATTTCCAGTACTCCGAAGATGGGACGTACATTGTTCCAAACATCGTGCACTTCATCAGACTCGGCAGTGCATCCTTGCAGTTCGTGGAAGTCGTGTGCGTGCGGGCGGCGTGGTTACAGCAACGGCCCGACCACCTCATGATTCATTGCGACGAGTGCAACGCAACCGTGAACAGTCCCTTGTGGTACCTCATTCGGGACATTCCGGATCTTGTTCTTGAACCTGCCAAGAGACCTACAGAGATCTTCGACGTCAAGTTCAGCTCTCTGCAGCATGCTTCTGACGTAGTCAGGGCTCAGGTGCTGATGAAGTACGGTGGAATATATCTAGATAGTGATGCCTACCTTGTTAGGAACCTGAATCCTTACCGCCGATACGAACTGTCCATGGGATGGTCTCCAGGGGAGTTTGTTGGCACGCAAGTGATTGTAGCCCATAAGAACGCTCGGTACCTGAGACTCTGGTACGAGTCCTACCGTCTCTATCGACCGAGCATATGGTACTGGAACGCCGGAGAGCTTCCCACGAGGAAATTTTTGGCTTTGAGGCCGGATCTCGTGAACCGTGTTGAAGCGGACTTTGGAGTAAGCGAAGACGTGGCGATTACGCTTTACTTGGAATGTAACGACAAGTGGAGGAACTTTTCGGCCTTTCACCTCTTCTTTCGGCATAGGCGTAGGATGGTGCCATCGGATTTTAAGAGGCACAAGGCGGTGACGCTTCAAACTTTGCCCAATTACGACAGAAACTTTGGTCAGATGGCGCGTCTGGTGCTCTCTGGTAGCACGCGGCTTGGCGCGAGCGCGATAAGATGTGTTGAGTGGTTTTCCAAGAACCAACTGGACTATTCTGATCGCAACTGTTTTTGATATTTTGATAAAGAGAAATAGTTGAAAAGAAATACTCTTGCAATATACGAAAGCCATAGTACTTCCGTCTCTCTTCTTTGTATAGTCTCCGGGTTTTCTTTTTGCCTTCCCCTGTCGCCCCCAGTGCTATCATGTTTTATGATTTTTTGTGATCTAAGTCAATACATTTTTTATAGAGCATCTGTTTCTGTCCGGCTATACCCGTAGGGAAATATTAGATATATGTCGGATACGGTTTCGTCTAGCATCAATGAGGCGCCTATGACTTCAACTTGCGCTCGATCAGAGGCACCCACTTTCCAAATGGGCCGGATCTAATCAACTGCTTTGATGGTTCCGGTCGATCCAAAACCATTCCGGCGATTTCAGTCACCATTCTTTTTTGTTTAAAGTTTTTGACACAACGAGTCGCAGGACGGTAATTATAGTCAAACATGACGATTGCAGATTACACCAGGTTCGAGTTATAATCTACTTTATCGCCCAACATAGGCGAACGCCTATTTTTAGACAATGTACCAGCTCTGCTCTACCTGTCGACTTCTCGTCGTCTGCTGGTATACGCCTTCCTATGCTCTGGTGGCCGATTTCGTCTTATATATTGCGTTACAAGTTGTTTATGACTACGATGGACGAAACACATTTAGGTGATGACTCTCCGTCCGACGCGGCGGCTACATTCTGTTCGTTACACCGAGCGCGCTTTACCCGCACAGGGATAGATGGCGCCCAAGTATGGGTTCTCTCCCAAACCCCTGATTTGCAAGGTGTAATTTTTTTTCTCGTTATTGTGCGTAGTTTTAAAGATATCGACGCCTGGATGTTTTGTTTGGGGCGCGGCCAACAAAACCGAAACTGAAACTAGCCGCTCGAGGCCCCGGCAACACTGGAAATCAGCCGCCATGTGAACGTGACGTCATGATCGTTCTCGTTCAACGAGTACGCAGGCCGAGCGCCACTTACCTCTGTTGCGCTAGCTGTCTAAAGATAGGGGGTAAGCTGATTTTGTTTTAATTCTGTATACGTGGTAGTTATCGACCATATGTAGAAAGAGTTAGCGCGTATAACCAAAAGCTAGCGACTGGAAAACCCGTAAACTCGTACGGTGCCGTACTCGGCGACCACCGTCGTGCGTGCGCTATGCCGTACTCGTCGCTTGTATACCCAAAAGCTAGCGACTGGAAAACGAGTGAACTCGTTCGGTGCCGTACTCGGCGGCTGTCGCCGTGTGTGTGGCCTTCCGTACTCGTCGCTAGGCCTAAATTGTCATCTGGGGTCCGTGGATGGAGCGGCGTTGCTTTACGCCGCGCTGCCAGTGACGTACAGTACTGGGGGCCGTCTCGCTTTCGCGCTGCGGGTCAGTCCCAGACACGAAGGTTTGAGGCTCCGGCGCGGGCCGCGGCGCCCGAACCCGACTGCTTTTCGTTCTTTTTTCCTCGGGTGCGTAAAAGCCGAAGTCCAAAGTCCACTCGTGGAACAGCGTTCACCCACACCTTCTCCAATTTCCGGTCCGTCGGACACTTGTGAAAAAGCACCTCCGTGTTGCGCAGAGGGTTGTTTGAGCAGCCCACAGCGCTACACGTTGCACTCGGCATCTTTCGAGGAAAAGCTGGGCAGTCTTGGGCGCACCGAGTTGCTCGCTAAAACGAGTCTTAAAGTCCACACAAGCAAATAAACAAAAGGCTATACCGATATACACGGGCTACAGATAAAAGCAACGGCTAAACACGCCAATCACAAGCCGAAGTAGCGGTGGTAGCGGCTCAAAGAAGCGCACTCCGCGCAACGCCCACACCGGAGGAAAAAAAAGAGAACGATATTGACGTCACGGTCCAATGTTGCTTTAGCGATCGGCAACCCACTGGCCGCTGCTAAGGAGCAGCGGCTCGCGGCGGGTCGCATTTTTGTTATCGGCATTAGTTGAGAATGCGGCGTCCTACGGACGTAGTATTTTGGCCGGAGTCGTATTTTGTGTCACTACAGCGATACCAGTAATTTATTTCATTTTGAGTTTTGGCCGGAGTTGCCATTTAATATATATTAAAAAATATATATCCCATTTTTCGCGAACCAGATGGCGTAGTGTTTTTTTTTTTGTAGGGCTTTTTAATGCGAAATCACTCATTATTCCAAAATCTTCGGAATTGAGCGGAGTTGCCCTTAAAGTGTCTCTGGCGAATTTTTAAACTGTCAGTAGCTATATCGGGCTGAAAAGTCTTGTGGAAAGGAGTGTCTAACTTGGTAAGAAGCGCCAAACATATCGTTTTCAAATCTGTGCCATTGATAGTTTTCCGATTATATTGAAACGATTAGTTGTAGGCTAAAAAAACGGTTTTATTTTTTACACTCGGACGAACGAAGTACCTTGTTTATTTTTTTCTGATTTTTTGGTCGAATAGCCAGAATTTGGGGACAATTATTTTATATATACGGTTCGCAAAAAATAATCCAAAATAAACAGTCGCTTCGCTATGTACCAAGTTGCCGCCGAGACCGACTGTGCAGAGTAAGCCATGTGGTCTCGCTGGTGAAGGGGCGGAAGAGCCTGGGCTGAGTCACCTTGTGCTGGTCCCTTCCCGGTTGCTGCACGGGTAGGCTAGGCGGCAACTCCTCAGCAGCATCGGCAGGAGCGGAAGCACCAGCCTCAGCTGCAGTGAAGCATGTTGTTGGCGGCGACAGCTCGCACGATTCTCTTGAGGGAAGCTGCCGGGACACGGCTGCAGGGGTGTCAAACCAGGGGAACGTCTTTGTATGTGGTCCACGTGCCTGCGTATTTCTCGAACGTTTGTTTCGATCAGCGAGTATCGAAGACATAGCCGCTTGCGTAGAAGTCCTTCTAGCCACGTTGGCTTCCCGCGGACACAAAAGGCAAATATTGGTTCTGGGTTAACCATTGGCGTCTAAAAAGTTTTATATTCACTCCGTGTGGAAATAATAAGTGGCAGAATTGAGAATGATCAGCTAAACAAAATGAAATATTGTCTGCAGTACGAAAATTACGTACGTTTATATCTGTGAGAATGGGCATGCAAGTATTGACACCAAAAAACGCTAGAAACGCAAAGTGGAAAGGTTATTTATTGGTTACAGCTGTGTAGTCCACTGACTGCAGTGGTCTACCCGTATTTAACGATAAAGTCGTATGCAAAGGCAGCATCATTGTCGAAATCTTCGAGTGTAAAATTCTCTGCTGCAGGAAGACGTATAGCACAGGCCTGAAATTATGATAAAAATGAACAAAAATCAAGAACACCAAAGAAACATGGTACGCTTCACTTATAATATCACAGATTCCGTGAGAACAAAGAGTACAATAATCATTTATTTAACTGGATAAATAATCTTTTATTTATTTAATTAACTAAATAAGAATTATTTAGTAATCGATAACGCCAGCAATCAATTATTCAACAACTCAATCGGTCAATCAATCAATCGACGAATTTCCTGACTTCAGGAACGGAACGACCCGAGCCACTTTGCATGTTACTGGAAACATTTAAGATAATAAAGAGTTGTCGAGTACATTGCACTGTATAGGTGTGTGTACCTCGTGGTAAGTTTCATGAATATCAGAGGGTGTTCCATCATGTCCTGCAGACAGTGTTGTTTTCAGTTCTCTAATACACTGCTCAACGCATACCTTATCGGCATCAAGATTACTGAGCAGGTAAAAAAATCAAGTGAGGCAAGTTAGGTACCGCGCAATAATGTCTATATAAACGGGCAGAAGGGGGGTACCGAACAAATTAGATACGCTTTTCGCGCCTCCTTCCTGATGATTCAGAACAATTTAATCCTAATATTCTCCCGAAGGCGCGACTAACATATATCCAGAGTTTCTTAGGATTTTTAACAAGATCCTATTCAAGTAAATCTGGTGGTGGTGTTAGTGGTGGTAATAATAATAATGATAATATTATTTTTGTATTTACACAACACTTGCGGTACATTAACAGACGGGTTCGTCAAAGTCTATAATGGCTTGTATGATTGAACCCAACGAGTCAGCTGAGGTCTCGGAACACATCCCTGGACTAAATAACGAAACGGCGCCGTGTTGTTTGCAGACCGGTGGTGTCGCTGCGTTTCCATAGGAGCTAAGCCTTTTTCTCTCTTTACTTTTTCCTCAGGTAAGTTGGCTCTTCGCAAATTTTACAAAAAAAAAAAAAAAAAATGCACCATCTGTGGGCAACGCTGCACAAAGTCGTAGCGCGATAGGTTAAGAAATCGAATTTTCCGGTCGATTTAAAGAGCCTGGCGTCTCCTTGTTTCACCTTGCAGTTGTGTGCCGGATTGCTTGTGGGTTCTATGTGCCTATGGGTTGGAATGTACGACACATGCTCCTACTCGGGAAGAATTGGTAAATAACAGATGGTAAAATCCTGTTTAGACCCTGGTGCTGTGCGTGCACGTAATAGTCCTTTGAGCTCCTGCGTTATCACTCAACGATTAGCTGATCACTATTTTGTGGCCTGTCGTTTTGCAACCACTTCATCCCATTCTGCTTCACGACCTTAATACAGCGAGGGAAAAAGACATAAAATAAAAGTTGGGATACTCAATCATCGCACATTCGATGATTTAATCACTGGGTTTGTTTGGTTAACGCTTATTCAATGCAATCCTTCTGTTGAAAAAAGTGTTGTGAACAGTTAAATATGTTTGAAAATCTCAGCCAACGAGTTTTTATAAAAAAAAACGTAAAAAAATTACGACTGGTTAAATTCGGACGTTATTCACGCCATGGCATATCGAGACTGGCTGTGGATGCACCACAAAGTGCTTCAATAAACCAGGCCTTAGCTTTAGATTACAAAAATGAAATAAATAGAGTGGCGCTCTTATCCGTGTCACGACGCGAAGGTATTTTTTTACAACAGTTCAATCAGTTGGCGAGAAACGCGGCAAAAACATGTTCTGCGACAGACTTGTATACGTTACTAAAAGAGTAAGGAATTACATTTACAATTACACGTGACCAAATGTAACTAATCACA